TCAGCCCCCACGTACCCCATGTAACCCAAGTTGACAACCACTGCTTTGGAATTCGTGTTCTTTATTTTTACGAGAGGAAGGGAGAAAGAGAGAGAGAGAGAGAGAAAAGGAGAACTGGGCTCATTCGTCCTTTTCACCTGTTACGTGCCATCGGCACTCACGTTATATCTGACCAGAAGTTCGCTGCGCAAATTAGCGATCGGAATTATCTATCCAGCGGTCTATACGACGCTTAAAAGAGTTTCTGTTCAAGAGTTCAAGTAGATAGATGTAAGACGTTTTTTTTCTTCATTTAATTAGTACCGTCACACGCAATTGGACTTGGATCGCTAAGCACAATAAATTGCTGAAGATAAAACGATACTTTGCGAGTCTAAGATAAAAGAAAAAATTGACTAATCAAAAAAACAAAATTTATTCGGTTAGACCGGTTGATATCAGTGCCATCGTCTTCAATTAAAAATCATCGTAGCCCCATATGCACGTGCACGAATTGAACGCGCAGTCCAAACGCATGAGAATTGAAAAGGTAACGTCGAGATAAAGAAAATTGCATACGTTCATAAACTATTGGCCGTTACGCAACACTCGCAAAGCTCACTTAATGTATGTAATTTTGTAGGGTTTAAGAATGAAGAAAAAAAAACATACAAATTCATAAGTCACAAGTTTACGTGGGTGAGAATATCTATGAATGAGATTGCCCACGCGACCGGCTGTTGGCCAATATATAATTCCCCCAGGGTATCTAGCTAGTACGTTTTCTGTCATTATGACGTTTGTACGTAGGTGTATACGGTTCATATAGCAGAAACACCAGTTTTCGTAACCCTATATGGACATTCTCCTTGACCAATGCATTCGTAGCACGGACCTTGGTATGGAACTGATGCACGAAATTGAATCGTTGCTTGATACGAGCATTCGCAGTAATCGCCATCAGACTAGGTTATTCAACCTGAATAATTCGCGTTGGAAGTTTTGATTACACGTGTATATTGCATACCTACCGTAGTTGTACGGCTTACAATTAGTCTAACGAAACTTTCAGTTTCTCGATTTGGTGTCTCGAGAGCGTCTGGATCTCTTTCATTAGCCTTATTAGGATTAAGCTAAGACTCCTGCCCGTCACCCAATTAGCCACAGGGTCTGACTCGTACCTGTAGAAAAATTGCGGTAGCTGGTAAAAGTTCGTACGATAAGTGTTCGTGCGCAATGTCAGGCATGCAAGAATGCGTTCTATTTCCACGTGAACTCCTGGTTCTAAAGTTAAACCGGCGGCTAGTAAGCATTAATTTTAGTGACTCTCGGCCGCGAGTTCGGGATACACGCTTTGCCAATGAGGTCGAAAGCCACGAAAGAAAACAAAAAAAAAAAAAGAAGAAGAAGGAAACTTCTAACGTAACCCTCTGGGCTCTTCCGTACTTTCAGAATGTGTCAAGATGCGACCGGTGTGTTTCCTCTGCGGCGCCATAGCGGTTTTCCTCCACGCGACGGGATGCTGGACATCCGGTGAGTATCGATGCACCAAGGTGTATATAACGTTGGAACGTGAATGCGGGGCCTTTCCCATGGCTGAACCTTCTTATCTCTTTACACTTAATTGATACTTCACGACGCTCCGTCGATTCCATGCTGAATGCTTCGATAAGGCTTCTATCTTAGATACACAGAACGTCAAGTATACAATTTCTCAGGGACGTGGGAACATGGCCTTAGGTGTCTCGAGTTGATCTTTTGGCCGTTGCAAAGAATATTTAATGGAACAGCTTTTGCTTTGTTCGCAATCCGTTATATTTATTTTTACCTTCTTTTAGATATGGGTATGACGTTCACGCGACATCCTCAGCCGTTGGTTGCTCCCTTGGGCGACGACGTGTACTTCGAATGCAGTCTCAATCTTCCTGCTGAGAGATTCGCCTGGCGTCACAGGCCTTTGGGTTCCAAGGAGTGGGGTCCGCTTATTTACTCGATGACCAATGGCGGCAAAACTTCCAAACACGTCGTTAACTTCGATACGGAATCTAAGGCTGGTGACTTTCGATGCATTGCTTTCTATGGTAAGTATTACTCTGCGGGTACATCTCTGTTTGTCTTTAAGACTTCAGAGTCTAGAATTTCGAGAGTCGTATTGATGTGGTTATTAACTGAATATATACCCGATATATCGATATTGATTTTCAGGTACGAGTGGCTTGGCTTCCGATCCCGCGCGACTCACTCTTGCCAGAATTGAACAGTTTTCGGATAAGAGCTCCGTGGAGATTGCAGTCGCAGCCGGAAATACAGTACCGATCACTTGCCCTGTGCCTTATTCGTCGCCCGAGGCGGTTGTACAATTTTACAAGAACGACACTCCTATTGAAAATGTTAATATGACGGGTAGTAAGACGATGGTGATCGAGCACGCGAAGCTTACGGATTCAGGAAGTTACACTTGCACGGCCAGCAACTATATCACTTCCGAAACCGTATCGAACAGCCATCCCATAGTTTTAAATGTACGAACGAACCAAGGACCGCAGGAGCTGTATTTCGTGAAGCAGCCGCAAGCCGAGTACAAGGTACTGCGTGGTAAAAACGTGACCCTCGAGTGCTTTGGAGCAGGCTATCCCGTTCCAAGCGTTACTTGGACCAAGTTGGGCAGCGCCTTGCCAAAACAATCGTGGTACACACCCATGGGATTGACTATAGTGAACGTACAGCCCGGAGATCGGGGCGAATACGATTGCATTTGGAGCAACGGTGTGAAATTGATCAAAACCATGATTATCTTGAAAGTCGTGGAAGTGCCTCGAGTCGTCAAATCACCCAAGTCGTCGACTTTCTCGGAGGGCGGTGAACTCGATCTTTATTGCACTGTAAACGGTAACCCGGAACCGACGATCGAGTGGCTGATCAACGGGGAGTCACTGATGCAGTACGATAACGTCGAAATCAAGGGTGCCGCTCTTTTTATTTCACCAGTGGAGAAGAAACATGCCGGCATCGTTCAGTGCGTCGCCAGCAACGAGTATGGTTCCGATTCTGGATATAGTTTATTGAGGGTCAATCCAAAGCAACATATGAGTGGTACAACTGAATCGAGACCGGATCGTATCCCCACCAGAGGATACAAACATACGCGAACCGGTGGCAGAAGACATAGCAAAGAGGGAAAACGAAAGGGGTCTGGTAATTATCGTTTCGCTAATTAAAATCTCTTATTTATGTAAGCAAACAGGGTCGGCTCCGACTCGTTAACTTATCTCGTCCATGCGTCAATTCGCTTTTCCTTCCAGAAATTCTGGTACCACCAGATCAGCCAAACGTTACTAGACTGTCGGACACATCGGTAATGGTCAGGTGGTCCGTACCGGAAAATAATGGGCTGCCGATTCAGTTCTTCAAGGTGCAGTATCGGGAACTCGGGCAAAAGATGAATGGGAAGCAATCCAAGTGGATGACTGCTAATATGGAGATACCCAATCACGTTCGATCCTTCGAAGTGAACGAATTGCAATCTAATCGTACTTATCGATTCAGGATAGCTGCTGTTTACTCTAACAATGACAATAAGCTCAGTCCCAATTCAGTACGCTTTCATCTTAATCGAGATGAAGGATTACTTGAAAGTAACAAGATGCCAATTCCTTTGTTGACCAACACCGAAGCTTTGAGTCCGCACGAGGTTCTTCTGATTTGGCAAAGTCCAAAGAATTGCGTGGATGTCGAGGGCTTTTACGTCTATCATAGAGCTTCCACGTCTGCCGGGGATTATATGAAAACTACAGTCGAAGGAAGAAACGCTGGAAATATAACGATCAGTCATCTCAATCCAGATACGACCTACGAATTCAAGGTGCAAAGCTTTTCTGTAGATGCTGCTTCAGAATTTTCACAGATTCTCAGACAGAAAACGAAGAAAGCTGTGGTGGAACCACCGGTTCAGCAGGTCCTCGCTGAAAATAATCAGAAACCTGTCGAAAGTGAAAAGAATGCTAGCATGTATGCAATCATTGGAGGTGTTTTGGGCGGAGCTATTGTTTTGGGCGGTTTGGCAGGCATCGCTGTGATTTACAAGAGACGAAAGCGTAAACCAAGCAGGGAGTCTTCGCAATCGCAAGGTAACTTCGGCTCAAGCCTCCTTTTGAACTTAAATACATTATACGAGTTTGGAGACATTCCAAAGAGTATTTTGATATTCCGTCAACATGGTTCTCTTCAGGTAAACCAATGACGAATGGCAGAGTAATGAACGGTGGGGTAACTGATTCTAAGATCAACATAACCGCAAATCCACTGGCTGGTCTCGATACGCCCGAAAACACGATGCAGCCTAAGGTCTGTATTCGAAATTAGCCTATAGTTATCAGTTTGAGTTCTTTGGAGAAAAGAAATGACTAAAGGATGTGCTAAAAGTCTAAACTGTTTTTGCAAATAGAAATGTGCCCGTCGTAGCAGCTTCGTTCGAGAATACCAGAAGCAACCAGCTGCCGTCATTTCATTTTCTCCATTGTTAACCATCCGTCCAATGTTAACGCCGTGAAGGTTTTGGTCGAGTACGATAAGCTATTTACGGCCTTAGCATTGGACTTATATGTTCTTTCTCTTTCTCAATGTTACTTAAACTCTCCTTGTTTTCTATATCCTACTCATTCATCTTCCTCTCTCTCTCTCTCTCTTTTTTCCCCTTCGTCTTCTTTACCATCATCATTCCCAATATATCTGAATTCTTTCTTCTTTCTTTCTTTCTCCCGCTTCCACTTCGAACACCACACACGTACGTTACTCACACGCTTTAGATCTGAAAGAAGCGAACGAACACGCATGTTTCTAAACAGCGCACTGTTGGACAACAATCTTCGATGGAAATGGCCTCGTTTCTTAACGGTCAGAACAACAACAGCAACAGCCATAACAGCAGTGACTCGGCTGAGAGTGGTATGAACGCTGCGCAGGCTGAGCCCGCCTTGCTTCAAGGATCACCACCTAACGAACAGTCACTCTGAGCGCATCGCTGTTATACCATAGTTTGCTAATAATCCGCAAGGAGATCTTCGAGCGAAAGGGCCTCAAGTCTCCGTCTTGCGTTCCATATGGAAACGCGTCTTCCTTCGTCTTTTCGCTATTTCATGCGACAATTTAGTTTGATATTTATGGTTTTGTGACAATAAGTCAAATTCTAGTAAGACTGGAGAAGCACTTTGCGTCTTTTATTTACGATTACTCTCAGCTCAGAATATTTATGGACTTTATAGATTGTAGGTAATCCTTTAAGGTATGCATTCTTCTCTCGGCTTGAAACGGGACATGACATTCATGAGACTTAGCCCGGTCTGTATTTTCTTTAGTAGGCATAACTACTAGGAAGCCGTGGCACTTGCTCGGCATTGAGCCGTTTTTTTTTTTAAATTCTTATTGAGTGAAACATTATCGTGGAACTCTTACTCCACAAGCAGGCAGCTTCTATGAATCCTTTATTTATCGATTCATACGAATTGTTAAGGTTATTTTTATTGCTTTGTACATACTCGGACTGATACTGATTTTATTGATAAGAGTTTGAGAAAAACACAACGTAGGCTACATTTAGGTAAATATGGTTTTTTTTTTCAATTTTATCATTGGACAAAGCGTTTCTTGTGTTTTTTCTTATTAAATACATTGATAACGATTGTATTTAATGAAAAAGTGTAAATTTACATCACAGGTAATCTGAGACTTCGGATTTTTTGAGATTCTAGTTCTTATACGTATTCTTAAGAAGAACTTCTTTTTGTGAGAAAATCAGTTTCCATTGCTAGCCGGTACGCGAACATTAAATAATGAAAATTTTTTAATGAGTATTTCGAGTCATTACTACTCTTATAGTTTCTTTTGAATCATGAAAATCAAAAACGCCAGTGGATAGGTTCTATCAAGACTTTATATTTTTTGCTCATCATGGAATTTACGAAATTTAGTTATCTCATACAGAATTGTAGTTTTACAAATTATCGAATGAGTACTTCTTTTAGAGAAGCTGCTTTATTCATGCATCAGTAGCACCTTTACAAGTATTACGATCAAGGTTCTATTTAAGATTTTTAATTATTTACGCCTATTGTCATTATTATTATAGTATAGACTTTATTAATAATTACTAGTTGGCGGCTCTCAGTAGTTAATCGTTAATGCGAATGAAATTTTGGCGATTAAAAATGATATTTAATTTACATGGAAAGTGAGAATCTGGTTGTGCGTCAAAAAAAGAATATTGTGAAAAGCGTTGATACCTTCAAATATTCAATGGAGAATTAAAGTGGTCCGATGATAAAACCCAAACCAAGATAAAATTCAGAATTTTGTTTATATATTAGATAATAACTAAATATTCGTCTGTCAACAATTTCAAGATACTTAACTGAGTAGTTTTTGAGATTGAAAAAGAACGAAGTATCAATTTTTATTATATAGATATACTCAACGTGTAAAAATGAATATCTTTAAACTTGATTATCTTCATTTTTGTACTGCCTGTTTAACACGTGCTTCCATATTACTATTATGATTGTCATCACCGGATCACTTTATTCATCTACAAATTGTATATATGAATCTTTTTTAATCCTTAAGTTTAAATTAAAATATCATCAACTTGCGATTGCATTTTCTATACGTATACACATATATATACGAATACTGAAAATATATTATTAATAAATTAGCATCCCAGAGTCACGGTACACAAACCGCAATCGTATATCTTCGTTAAAGGGAACTGCAGAACGTAAACCAGGAAGTTGTATATATTAGAATATTGTTATTATAATGCAGTGTATGTGCCTTACATCTTGCCCAGCAATATAATATTGATATCAATTATTTATATATACGAATATTTTTATGTACCCTAATATAATTTTTAAATAATAAAACATGAAAACCTTTACATTGAAATCATTCGAATTTTACACGTACACCAGGGTAGAAGCTGCTTAATAACATTGCCAGTCCATTGATTCTTGTTTTCCTTTGTGGCTTTCTGCAATTAAAGAGATTTTCCAGGAGTTTCATGCACTGAGTATTTTTGTCAGTTATACAACGAGAAAAAAAGAGGGCTTTTAAAGCACCGACTGTGGTATTTGAAAAGTAGCCTTTTTCTAAAAATGTATGATTTTAATGTCTAAGACATTGCTCCTTAAATGCTTCTTATGTTTTTTTAATTGCGCCGCTGCTATTATACAATGATTAAAAAATATTTATTAAAACAGAAATACATTTTTTTTGAATTGCTATTCCAAATAATCAAGCATATTTTCATATGGTTTTCTTAATGAGTCAATTGCTCTCAATTTGCTACATTGTGCTCCATAATTTATTTTTCATTTCTTAAAAGTATCTATAAATAATAAGTAAAATTTGATTTTCTCTTGGACCGATTGCAAACGTAAACAATACGGTTCATTTTCGAACACACCTCTGATAGGTGCGCTCGAAGATGAGCGGAGGGCGCTGAGAACGTGGTTTCTCTCTGTATTGAATGCTAGATTCTTATTCAGATGCAAGAAGATGCAAGCAGTCGAACAAAAGCCCGATAGTGACAATTGATTTCTTTCTGTGAACGTCTGAACTTTTTCATGCTGACAAACCTTGTATGAATATACTTACATTTGCTGACACTGAGTAAGTGTACACGCAAGAGTTTTACGAAGAATTAACAAATCATGTTGTGTTGTGGGCACTCGCAGTCATGAGGTACTAGGTTTGTGGTCGGATATTATTATTATTCTTATTTTTTTTTTTTTTTCTTTAAACAGGCTAAGCTGAATAAAAAATTATTGGAATCCACGAACCCACAACCCAAGATGATTTCTATTCAACGTGAGCTAATTCTGTGTAAAACCCTTGCGTTTATATTAGGCCAGAGATCAAGGTCAAGTTATTTTAGGTTAGAGGTCAAGGTCAATCTGAAGGTCAAGCATCTTTTACTCAGTGTCAGCAGATGTAAGTATACTCAGACAGAGTTTGTCAGCATGAAAAAGTTTATACGTACACAGTAAGAAATCAATTGTCACTATCGGGCTTTTGTTCGACTGCTTGCATCTTCTTGCAACCGAATAAGTATTTAGCATTTTGTAAACAGAGAAACTATGTTCTTCAGTGCCGTCGGCTCATCTTCGAACGCACCCCTGTGAAGTTAGCTCATCATTATGCTCATTTCAAAAAAATGGTTGGAGTTCTGATTGCCCGCAGAAGAGTTCTAGAGTTCCTGATGGTTTTTAGAAATAGTTCTGTCGATTAAATGTGAAAAATCGCGATTTAAAAAAAATGATGGGCTAACTTCACGGCGCCCATCATTTTTGAAAAAATGTATTTTTTTTGGGAGTTCTGAATAGATTAACAATAGTTCTAGAGTTCTCTGTACTTTTTATCAATAGTTCCGGTTATTATCCGCTTGAAAATAAAGTTTGAAAAAATGCGTTAGCCCACCATCTTTTAGAAAATCGAATTTTTTTCAGTGTTCTGGATAGTTGTCAAAGAGTTCTAGAGTTCCCTATAGGTTTTTGGTATAATACATATCCAGATTTCATCAAAAAATCATTTTGAGATGAGTATTTCAAAAAACAATTAATCGTATAAAATCCGATACTCCCGAAATACTGGATGGATTAATCAAGTCCAGGTATTCGTTTTGTAGAACTCTTTTAGAACTACCCAGAACTCCTGGAACTCTTTTTTTTTGTCAGAACTCCTGGAACTCTTCATTTTTTTTCTCCCTCGAACCTACCCTACTTGCTACGCAGAATGTTCGAAGTCACATAACTCTTTCAATTTTAATTTCTCAGCTTTTTGCCATGAGAATTATCGATAGAACTCTTTGAGAAGTACCCAGAACCCCGAACTAATTATCTTTTTCTTGAACTTTTCTCCTCGTATTGCTTGTCTCATTTCTGTTTATCGTTACTCAAGTTAGTCAACAAAAAAAAAGAGTTCCAGGAGTTCTGGGTAGTTCTAAAAGAGTTCTACAAAACGAATACCTGGACTTGATTAATCCATCCAGTATTTCGGGAGTATCGAATTTTATACGATTAATTGATTTTTTGAAATACTCATTTCAAAATGATTTTTTGACGAAATCTGGATATGTATTGTATCAAAAACCTATAGGGAACTCTAGAATTCTTTGAGAACTATCCAGAACACTGAAAAAAATTCGATTTTCTAAAAGATGGTGGGCTGACGCATTTTTTCAAACTTTATTTTCAAGCGGATAATGGCCGGAACTATTGATAAAAAGTACAGAGAACTCTAGAACTATTGTTAATCTATTCAGAACTCCCAAAAAAAATACAATTTTTCAAAAATGATGGGCGCCGTGAAGTTAGCCCATCATTTTTTTAAATCGCGATTTTCCACATTTAATCGACAGAACTATTTCTAAAAGTCATCAGGAACTCTAGAACTTTTCTGCGGGCAATCAGAACTCCAACTATTTTTTTTGAAATGAGGATAATGATGGGCTAACTTCACAGAGGTTTCGAACGCACCTACCACAGGTGTGTTCGAAAATTAACCATATTATTTACGTTTGCAATCGAGCCAAGAGAAAATCAAATTTTACTTGTTATTAAAAGGTGCTTTAATAAAATAAAAAACAAATTACGGAGCAAAATGGAGCAACTTCAGAGCAACTGACTCATTAAGAACATCATATTAAGATCTGTTTGGTTATTTGGAATAGAATTTAAAAAATTATATTTCTGTTTTAATGAATATTTTTTAATTGTATAATAGCAGCGAAGCAATTAGGAAAACACATAGAGCATTTAACCCTTTGAGTGCCGGGAGCCGATATATCGGCTCCTGCTACACTGGCAAGAAGTGCCAGAGCCGATATATCGGCCCGTTAACCCTTTGAGTGCCGGGAGCCGATATATCGGCTTCTGCTACACTGGCGAGAAGTGCCAGAGCCGATATATCGGCCCGCGCCTCGTAGCGCTTTACTATTCGCATTGCGGGAGAACTCTATCTCAAAATAAATTTGTAATACGTTATAAATGATCTAATTTCATTATGAGAGAATTAAAAAAAAATAGTTTTTCGTTTTAATGCATGGAGTGTGCATTAGTACCCACGAATGCTAAATAAATTATTTGTGTGAGTTGCAATAACAAAATTTTACATATTTGCAATATATAAATATAAATATTTATGACAACATAATTTTGTTTCAGCAATGTTATATTACCGATAACAATTATATATTTCGAAAGAGATAATCCGCCTGGCGCCTACCGTGTACCTTCAAGTTATGTTTTATTTTTGTTATGTAATATTGTTTATGGTTGTAAAATTATGGTGAAAAGATGGCTGTTTGTATGTGCAAATACGTTTTGTACGAGAGAACTCAACTTTTACTTCATTTATAAACATATATACCTTTGTTTTTTCTATAATTCTCAAATGAGTACAAAAAAACTAGTGTCATTGTTTAGTTCTGTATTTCATCTATAATACGCAGCTTTTTGAATTATGTAAATATCGTTTCTCGTTTGGTTTTTATAAGCATTTTCCCGAACCCTTGTAAAACTGTGAAATTCGGCCGGTTTTTCTCGCATAGGCACCTCTATTTCGCCCGGCACTAAAAGGGTTAAGGAGCAACTTTTTAGGCATTAACACGTTCCCGCCGGCGCCAATTTTCATTTGATTTCCCCAACGGCGGCACACAAATCTATGTCGCGCTTCATCTGGCGGCGCGCATTTCACGCGTGTTCAGACTTGCACGCGCTTCTTGTTTCTTCAGTATTACATTGAGCGCTTACTTTGCAAATTATGTGACTCGTGCCGTTTTTTATATCCTAATCACAGATTTCTGTTAGTAAAAATAACTAAAAGGTGGTTAGAATATTTTTTTAAATTTTGCCCAGGGTCAGCCAGCGCTTTGCTTGGAATGTTTCAACAAATTGCACAAAAAATAATAAATCATTAAGTTACAAATAAAATAATATTGAATTTTTATGTTAATTTTATCGAATTTAAGTTACATTTATAATACTGAATTTTTATGAGTGTGTTATTGAGCAAAATTTATGTTCATAATACGTTATTAATTATAATTTTTATTCAAAATACACGTTTTTATGTATGTACGTTAAATTATCAGTGTCTAATAGCACAATTGAATGCGAAACACAGGTAGTACACGCCGCCCGACGGCACAATCAAGCGCGAGCCACCGGTGGTACGCGCCGGCGTGAACGTGTTAAAAACATATACAATTTTATCTTCTGACGCTAACTTTCCGACGGTGATTGAAACCCGGCACTGCACGAGCCTCCGAGAGTGTACTCAGTAGGTAAGTCTAATCGCAGGCCAGTACAATTCACTGCACACCTAAAATTTGAATCATAAAAAACTTTGTATGAACCTGACTATCTAGCTAATCAAACGTGCACAATATATTATACCTTACACACGGTGCAATAAATAAAGTCAATCGAAAGCACTATAAAATATTTTTCACTTATCTCTATAGATTTGATATCTGTTATTTTTTTAAATCATGTATTTTTTTGGTGTTCTAAATCATTTTGCAAAAAAGCTAAATATAAGAATAGACAATGTCTTAAAAGTCAGTCGATAATTTATAAAACTGTCTCAATGGTACTTGTTCCTTTCCACGAGAGATGGCAGTATGATTTTTACATTCTAAAGTTTCAAGCGATGATTCAACGATGGCGCCACCATATAACGTGGACCCTTATCCCTTATTTGATCGTACTGATATGATGATCAACTATACATTTATTCGTAATTGTGTCTATGCTCCAATATTTACTGGAAGTTTTCTAATGACTGGATTTCTAATGCTAAAAATTTCGAGGTAAAGTAATTGCGGTACCATCGTATTTGTAATGTAACAGTTGTAACAGGCGAAATATACCCAGTCATAAAGC